GGCCTGGCGCAATATGGTTCATGGGGTCACGAAGAGTCAGACACAACTTAATGACTGAACAGCAACAAAAACACTAACACACTGGTCTCTTACAACTAGAGACTCCTGTATTTTTTTCAGTTGCAGGTTCAGATTCACATGCAAAATATATAGTGGGATAAACAACTTATGCCATTCAAATGTTGGACCTTTAACTGCTCTAATCACTGTATCTGATAGAAGTTGGAATCCACTTATATCTGTAAGGCCATATATTCCTCAGAAAGTAATTCCCTCCTATCTCTTGTGAATATGGAAAAGCTCTAAGTAAGCTACAGGTAGCCCTCAACTTATGACCATTTAGCCACCGTGCAAAGTTACAACAGCACTGAAAAAAGTGACTTATGACCGGTCCTTGCACTTACAACCGTCGCAGCATCCCCACAGTCACATGATCAAAATTCAGGAACTTGGCAGCCAGCAAATATTCACGATGCTTGCAGCATCCTGGGGTCACGTGATCTCCATTTGCAACCTTCCCAGCCAGCTTCTGGCAAGCATAACAATGCGGAACCATATGATTTACTTAATGACCATGTGATTACTTAACAACCACACAATTCACTTAATGATTACCACAAAAAAATATAAAATCTGGTGTGGTTACGTGATGCCTCACTTAATGACCAAACTGCTTAACGATGATTTTCTGGTCCGTATTGTGGTTGTAAGTCAAGGACTACCTGTACTAGCAAGAGTTTGCCTGTCAGAGTACAGTTCTGTTAGACTTGCAATTTTAACTCCATTCAGTGTTCATAGTAATGGTGGCTGAGAAACAATTCTGCATCAATTTTGCATAGGAAAAGAATAATTTCTGTAACTTATCTCTATGTCAAGTTGCATTGTCATCTAATTTGTTTAAAAAGACCCAGTGAAGAAAGGAACTAATTATTGTTTTTGTGTGTGTGTTTAATTACAGCTCAATGCAATAACAGTTCAGAGGAAAAAAGCTGCCTACTTGATAGAGTAAAAAGAAACGTAAAGTAATATGGTCCTTTCATGGTGTATAAGTACAGGTTGCCTAAGAAGAGTAACTTTGGAGTCTTATAATGTATCATGTAAAATGATGTATCTTTTGCAGATAATACTACATTGCTTTGTAAGACAGAAATATGTTTTGTCTTATTCGCAATAAACATTAAGCAGACACATGGGAAAATGCGTCGTATACCATGTTTTCTGTTATTCTTTTAAAATGTAAAAAACTCTACAAAACTTAGTTTTGAAAATCAGAATTATCTAATTGCTAAATTGGATTTTTCTTATCTGTACAACTGATTTACTAGTCATTTAAATTTCAGTTGTTGGCATGCAAAAGTATTGAACTTAATGTATCTATTCATACAATATTGCAAAAGTGCTGTCTAGAATCAGTGTCTCCTACCTATTTGAAAAAGTAGGCAGACTTGGGATATCAAATATACAACTAAAGAAGCTAATTCTTCCCTGGCATCTAAGTTACAGTAAATGTGGAATTCCAATTACATGAATTGTTTAGCTGTTCTTGACAAAATTTAGCATGTTATCACAGTGTCACAACATAGGGACGACATTATATTGGAAAGCTCATCATTGCTGAAGATGAAAAGGTCTAACATATATTTGAATCTCCTTGGTTCCAATATTTGGTCAGGTACAAGGTTCTCAGTAAGGAGTGCATGAAAAAGAAAAGGTATTCTGTTTAGAGCTAGACAAAATAGCTCCACTGTGTTCTGCTTGAAACAAAACCTGAAACATTATAAGTGTTCCACATAGAGGAACAAGGGTTGAAACAAGCTCCTTTCCTCATTACAACCGTAAAGTGTAAAAGAAAGGTGTCTAGTAGTCCTTGCTGGAAAATTGGTCATGGGAATTTTTTTTTAATTTAATTTAATTTAATTTAATTTTATAAATTAAAATTATTTTATAAATAAAATATGAGATATTTAAAATTGGAAATAAGGAAAGCAACAATTTTTCCGTGTTTTTGGTGGAGCCTATACAAAAGGCCACAGAACTCCTGTGAAGAGAAATACAGCATAGATTCATTTCAACCCCAACCTATGTACAGATAACAGCAGAAAACACACTTCTCTGATTGTTGTCCTGGGCTTCTCTTCCTAAAGCACAAAAATACATAACACACTTGAATTAGAGAGTTAGTAATATTTATTTATTTATTTATCAGCATTGGTATTCTGCTATGCTCCAAAGATTCTGAGGGGCTAACATCAAATAATAAAACTGATGATAATGATAACGTTCAGAACCATTTATGTATTACTAAAACTCTCCTGTCTGTAACCTTCAACTGGGTGAAATGGTGTGTCATAGGGCAACAATTTTTGAACCAAGGTACCTCAGATGGGCTAACTTACAGAAGGCACCCAAATTCTGGGACCCATTACTCCTGTGGGATTGAAATTTGGGGAATTTGTGGCTGCTTCAGTATAACACTGCAGCAGTCAGCCCAAGTCACATGATCATCATGGGCATACTGTATTCCTGACCTCTTTCCTGCCTTCCTTGTCCCCTGCACCCAATTGGCTGGTGGCAAGGCCTGACGGGCAACTGGTGATTGGCTGCTTTGGAAACCAGGCAAAAATTTGAAATCTCTTAATGGTGCTGGCATTGAGGGAAGGATAAGGAAGCGACTTGGATGCCTGCTGACAAGGTAGGGCTGGCTGCGGGGTGCCGGTGGTCAATGGGTGAGCCCTGTTCCTCCCTTGAGGGAGGGGGCCCTTGGGGACATGCCAGAATGGAGAGTGGGGGTGCAGTGTTCCTCACAGTGTGTGGCTCTCTTTGTTCCACCTCCCCCCAGCAAAGTGGCAGGCACTTCTGATGATCACCTGAGGAGGGGGAAAGGGAAGAGGAGGAGGAGGCAGCTTCACTGGGGCTCTCCTGAGGGTTGTGAGGGGAGGGCAAACAGTG